CACACACTCACAATCACTCACACACTCACACACACACACACACACACACACACACACACACACAACAAAACAAACAAACAAATACATAAATAAAACATTGCCTATAATAAAAAAAAAAGTTGTGAAGAAGTCGCATAGATGCATTATATTGCTGTACATTTTGTCATGCATGTTAAAATTAAGACTCAGTGATCATCTTAAGCATTAAGTGCCAAAGGGCCCAAGAGCTTAGAGGTCAGCTTGCAGGATGACCTAGGTACCCTATATAGTGGGCAGCTTGTGCTGTTCGTGCCAAGAGGCCTAGATGCAATGTGGTGAGGGGCCTGGAGCACTCAGTGGTCAGCTCATGCTATATTCACAAAGAGGCCAAGGGGCTCTACTGTTCAGCTGGCATTGCCCATTGTGGCCAGCAGCATTTAAACCTCCTGTGTGTGCGTGTGTGTGTGTGTTTTGTTGGTGTTTGTGTTTGGATGCTCACTTGACATCATAGCGGTGCATGAACATGATGTGATCTCTGTATGTACGATTCACATCCAGATCAATCTGACGGACATCTGGAGACAAACCCCTGGCTCTGATCTTCAGTTTCTGGGGAAAGAAAGAGACAGTTCATGGAGTTCATAATAAATATTACTAACTATATAGTCAACACTCTGCAGGCCACAAATGCATCTAACGACACGCTCACAGACCACAGCATGATTTCTGCCACACAAACACCTTCAGTTTAAAGGGAATGCAGGATGCAAATCATGTTTTCTGTCCAGTTGGATGCTGCAGGGCTTTAGTAAAGCTGCTATTGTCCATTTGGAGTGATATTTCCCTCTGTGGTGTGTGTGTCAAACCACATAAGTGTTACATTGCAAACCTCAGGGGTTGGCTATTTTGGAAAGTCATATTTAAGCAAAGAGTTTGTGATTGCCTCTCTCTTTCACACACACACACACACACACACACACACACACACACACATTTCTGTGGAATAAACTAGCTCTGAAAAAAGCCATGACTATGCTGGAATGGAGAAGCTGCATTTACCTCATAGAAGTCCTTTTTCTCCTCCTTGATTTTGGGGATGTCGAGCAGCAAACACCAAACCTGACCTCTGAGCTGCAGCGGAATTCCCTTATAGATCCTCCTCACCAGCTACACAAACGCAAAAAAGCACGATTAGAATTCAAGAAATCTCTAAACCTCAACTATGTGAGTGAACACATTGTAGTCATGAATAAAAAATAAATATTGTTTTTAATGTTTGTGAAAGAAGCATCTTACGCTCACCAAGACTGGTGATCAAAAATACAGTAAAAACAGTGATATTCTGAAATATTTCTACAATTTAAAATAACTTTTTTTGTATACTATTTTCTATAATATTTGTATATTTTACTATGGGGGGCGGTATATATGCACAGTATATAATATAACTTCAATGATGTGGCCACAGATACTGCTGGCCTGGTTATTAGGACACGCTCAATATGGATAATCACACTGTCTAAACACATTCAATAGCAGAGTAATTGAATACATCTGTGTGTCTGTGTCTCTCACAGGTAATTTTGCAGTCAGTAAAGATTAAACTCCCATCAGAGGGCAGATTAAAAGCACAAAAGCAAAATGCTGAAACCACAAAAGCTAATGGCCGGCGTGAATCGTCTCTCAGCTACAATTAAACTCACCCGCTGGAACAGAGAGAGGAAGAGAGAGAGAGAGATGTACGACTGTGGAGGGGTTGAGAGGTGAAAGAGAGGAATGAACACTCTTCCGTTTCCTGCACTCATCTGTCCACATTACTGCTGCTAAGTGATTTCCTGAACGTCTCTTCTGCCCTCAGGGCCAATCCATGTGTGTATGTGTGTGTGAATTGATGGCTGCTGAGTAGTTCACTTACTATAATGGTAACAACAATATTATTAATAATCTTCGGGAGGCTCTTGAGGAACTGATTATTGAAAGACAGCAGTGGGCACATATCCCACAGCCACAAACCTAATGACTGTGTGTGTGTTTCTGCCTCTATTCTCAGCAAAATGAGGCAATTAAGATAAGTTTGTTTATTTGAATAAAACGAGACATTACAAATCGGCAGGTGTCTGTGTGTGTTTGCTTGTGTGTTTAAGTGTGTTTGTTGACGGGGATTGGTTTTGTAATTGCAGACATGTAAGAAGTCAATGACTCCATCTGTTCTACAAGAAAAGAAAAAAAACTCTTTGAACAACATGTCTTTAGAGTGAGTGTTTGCAGTACAGTGAAATCAGAACCCAAACAAACCTGCAGATCGAAACTATGTAGCAGGGTATCCCAAAGTGGATTTATATAAACTAATAATTTAATTATAAAAATGTAAAATTGAAATAAATCAATAAATGTAAAAAAAAAAAAAAAGGGAAGAAAAATATTTAACTGCATGTCATTAACGGACATCGAAAAACTGTGAACATGCAAATTTGTCATTAAATTACTGTAATATTAACGTAAAATCTCATGGGGTAAATCAAGTAAACATTTTAGGTCAAATGGGTTTAGCTGACAAAAATGTTTGAGAATCCCTGCTGTATCGATTATAAAACCATATAGATGGTTAAACAACACAACTAAATAATGCCAAAACATACAAAATATTTGTATATTTATCTGGATGAACTGTTTCGCATACGAACAATTCAAGAAAATTAGTAGTACATTTCAAATGGACACCATCTTAAAATTGCAAGACTTGGAGCATGGGCCAAATACTGAAAAACAGTGAAATAGGCGAAACATCAATGATAGCGTGAGCTAGACAGCTGAAGCTCAAACAGGACATGAACTAGGTGGGACGTGTCTGGAATGACACATTTGGTGGTAGAGTGGTTAAAGTGATCTGAGGTCACCCCAATCTATCCTGAATGCCAGAGGAAAAACAAAACACAAAAACAAAACAAAAAACAAACATACAAACAAAAGCGCAGATCACTTCAAATCACTTTCGTCTACATGCAAATCCTGGCCACTGTCATGAGTCTCTATGGCTTATTATGGTATGCATTTCCATTGTTGACGAAATCATGTCTATGAATGTAATGTCATCAATCATTTTTTGCAAAAAGAGGGCTTTGAATGACACCGTAAGCAGCCGATGTTAGCTTGAGGTTTTCAACACTGTAAGTGCTGAAGCAGACCTCTGAATGTTCACTAACAATCGGCCAATCAGGTTTGAGCTTGAGCTAAACTTTATCAACAATAAAATGTGTCACTAGCTGCATTTCTATTACCCCTCAAATTGTGCACATTAAAATTGTATATTGAATATACGCTCAATGGAAACACGTAAATTTCGCAAAAACTCCCATATATCGCAAAAAATGTTTTTACGCTCGCTTTAGGTGGCTTTTAGGGCAATTCGAAAAAGGAATATTTCACAAAACTGCAATTTAAACAGTTTTTCCGCATTTACAGGTCATCTGGGGTACGTAAAAGCCACATGATCATTTGTCGATCACATGATCATGAACATCCGCTTCCATGACTTATCACGAGACGAAAAAAGTTGCATAACATTTAGTTGCATGACATCGGTTAATAGAAATGGCATCATTTCACAATAGTTATTTTTTTTTAAATCAACATTTATAAAATATCACAAACGTTTTGCATGGTAACGAGGTTACATAAAGCTGCAGTCCGTAACTTTTTTTGTGTTCAAAATGTACAAAATTTTTATAATAAGCAAGTACACCATCCATTTTCCAAACCGTGTTTTTGGCTTGTCCTGAATCACTACGGTACACCTATAATAAGTGTTTATATTCTGACTATTTTAGACTGGTTCGGGTAGGTACCGCTGTGGCGTAGCCAAGTACCTGTGTGATTCATCATAGACATAAACAGAAAGAAGTAGCTCCGGCTACAATGTGCTTCCGGAAGATGCACGCAGTTCTGTTTATTAACCGCTAGAGCGCCAAAAGTTACGGACTGCAGCTTTAAATATATTCATAGCAATCAATCCACACAGATATTTGCAATCTGAAGTTTCATTTCTGATGGATGCGTAAAAACAAAATGGCTGGAGTAGCTATGCAGTAAAAAAAATTTTTTGACAGTTTTGTTGTGCTTTTGATGCATTGCAGCATGCTGCTTATGCTCATTTAGTTCAGACGCAGTGTGACAGTCTAATCAAACTAATTGGACTAATAATAAGAAGTAATAATTAGTTCTACTCAGAGTAATAAACTGCACAACTGTCACGCTCCACCTCAGGCAATTATGAAGATTTCTCATTTCACACTAGACACTGTTAATGGACAGAAATGCAATTTAACACACTAACAGCTGCCTGAAAATGTCCAAACACATAGACGAATAGAAACAGGACAGTTGTTTTCTTAGGGGAACGGTCCAATGACACCCAATACACAGGACAGAGACAGCCAAAGGGAACTTTAGCCATTTACACACACAAGATGAAAGACTGAGAATCTGCCTTTCTCAAAGTCCTTCAGAGAGTTACAGTCTGTTTATGAAGGACACGCACCTTGTCACTGTTCTTGTATTTCTCCCAGCTCTTCAACATTTTCAGCCATTTTGTCGTTCTCTCCACTTCCAGATGTTTTTGCTAAGCAGACAGAGTGCAAACACACGGTACAATAAATTAAACAAAAGAGACAAAAACACACCTAAATGTTTAATCTAAAGCAATACTAGGTGGACTTTAATGAAAATGGATTTCAGTGAGATCTAGAATGCAATATTAGAACAGCCATATTAAAATTTAGGACGTAACCCCAAAAAAAGTCCTTTTGAATATCTGCTCTGCTTTTTCTTCTACATGAACATAATGGCCTCTGAGGACTCGGTTTCTCCAATTTAGACATCATTATTACGTTACAACATCACACTTTAAGTGCTTTCTGTCATGAAAAATGTGTGATCAAGAAATTAAAATGTGACCCTGGACCACAAAATAATAATAAGGGTCAATTTCTCGAAATTGAGACTTATGCATCATCTGAAAGCTGAACAAATAAGCTCTCCATTGATGTATGGTTTGTTAGGATGGGACAATATTTTGAGTTGAATTACTGAAATAAATGAACTTTTCCACGACATTCTAATTTATTGAGATGCACCTGTATACCCAAGCGACTTAAGACTGGTTTTGTGGTCCAGGGTCACAAATTTCAATTTAAGTCACTTTTTGGAGTCATTTTTGCATTTACGTTTAACCAGCTGGTAACAAAGGGATTTTTAGTAGAAGTATGAAGTCCATTCTGCTCAAGTTCAGACAGGTGCCCTAACTTTCTTTACAATTAATGCAACTAATCCAATGACATGCATTTATTTTATATATTATATATTCTGCCATTCTACACAGGAAATAAGGTGATTAACTGTGATAAATTACAAAACATACAGTGGGTACGGAAAGTATTCAGACCCCCTTAAATTTTTCACTCTTTGTTATATTGCAGCCATTTGCTAA